AGAACAATACTACATCTCTGCAAAAGGGAAGTCATCATAGTCACCATGCCCATTTCAGAAAGGAAAGGAAGCTCAGCCTGGTGATGTGACAGTTCCCGCAAATGAAGCTCTTCCTAGAGAGGAGACCACAAGGAACGGAGAAGACAGTAGTCTTCTTCCTGGCAAATTTGGAGTCTCAGCTCTCAAACTTGTCCAGCCCTATCCTTATGCCCAAAATCTCTCCAAAATTTTCATACTAGCATAAATGAGGATAGTGAAATCCCATTTGATCGATTCAAAGGCGACTTGATCCAAAAGTTACTAAATCCCCAGGTACCATGAGCTATTAATATAAAATATCTGAAAGTTCTTCCAGGTCACCTAGGGACCATCTCCAGTGCTACCCAACTCCTTGTGGGAAGAAGAGGCAGCTTTGTACTAGGAATTAGAAGACCAGCACTCTAGCTCTGCCTTTGCTAAGAGAAAGAAAAAAAAGTTCATGATTTATCCTTCGTCTTCTAAGAAACTGACAGAATTGCAATTGAACCTGAGCAGAGCTGCACTTCTACCAAGAAATGATGCTCAGTGGGTGAGGTCTAGATATATACTAACTCACAGATGCTATATGATCATAAATTCTCTGTTTACCTTTGAGATATGTTCTTTATCTCCTCCTTCGTTATGTTTCCAAGACATATTTTTAGGGAAAGTACCACAAAAGACAGACATTGTGGAATAAACTAATTGAGATGCTAAAAAGAACCAAACTGTCCCTTGGTTGTTGTTATCATCCACAGAGAACCATTATGGCATGGTTCAGGAAAAAGAGAATCATTCATCTTGCCTCTAACTAAGGCTCATTGAACAATAATCCTTCCCTCTCTGGGGAAAAACTTTCCTTCTATAAAATAAGTGTTGGGCTACATGACCCCAAGAGCTCACTTAAGCTCTGATACTCTATGATCATACTGGGTCTGTGATTCTCCTCCTAACCAACTCTGACCTTCTCACAGCTGTTCTTCTCAAACTATTTCCTAATACGCACATTTTGTGCAGTGTCACAAATGTATATTTTTACAATATAAAATTTGTTTAAAAAATTACCCCCAATCCTACTGTAGCCAGAAGCACTATTGCTACCCCTCCACACACACACACACACACACACACACACACACACACACACACGCTGCCCATTCCCCCTCTTACTATGAGTCCTTGGGCATCAAGAGGGAAACCTGGGTATTAAGAACAGGTGATTTCTCCAACTGCCATTCCACTTTGCATTCCACATATCCTGTATGTCACAAAGGACCTAACTCATCCTCAAACAAGGCATTCACTTTCAACATTCCTTGACTTCCTCATTCCTGTTTTTCTGGTACCTTGAATCTCATGTCCTTCCCATGACATGTGCAGCCAAGTAAACTCAAATTCTCCCCGCTCCACAAAGTCCGCCCTGACACTTCCCTAGAAAGGTATGAAGTATAATGCTGATATTCCTATTTTTGATTTTTCAACAATTTCAACATCTGGTGAGTCACATGATAACTTCAAGTAGCACAGGGAAGTGCTTCTTTGGTGTCCTTTTGAATTGTTTATGTGCTTGTCTCTTCTGTAAGACTAGAAATTACTCTAGAGCAAGGACATACTGACGCTGATCTTTATATTTCCAATGCCTAATCCACAGTGGGATCTCAATAAATGCTAGGAGTGAACGAATATGTAGAATTAAGCCAAATTTCCCAAATTAAAAAATGGATAAATAAGCACAGAACTAAAGTTGGGAAATCTGAGAGCACAAAGTATTCCCTTGGAACAAGGAAGAAAATGCCCCATAAAATATATTTTTAATAGCTCAGACATTATTTAAAGTTATAGAGCTCCTTTGGACCTCTCCCTCTGCAAATACTCCACATATATCATCATTTTCCCTTAGATCCATGAGTCAAAGCAGCCTAAAAAGGTGATTCAGAGGTGGGCTTGGGTAAGCATACAACACATGCTTAAATAATGAGAAATCATAGACCTACTAGCCTACTTTAAGTATTCAGGTGACTCAATGGCCTTTGTAATTTGCTTTGTATCAAAAATGGAAACATCAAAGTTGGGCATTAATAGTCTACATTTCTAGGACTTTCTGAGTACCTTTTAATTACAACACAACACAGTCCCCTGCAAGTATCATCTTCGGTTGGCACATATTTTTGTTAATATTTTAAGTGTGTGATTATTGTTCTCACAACATATAATTATGTTAACCAATAAATACTAACACATCTAATTCAGTTCCACCAGAGTGAAGATAATTCAGAAGAATGAGATAGCGCTCCCAATTAACCCCTGCTTTCCTAAATCAGAATAACAAAAAAAAGTTAGAAAGGATCACTCTTTAATTTCTGAATGGAATAGGCATACTGAAAATAGATTTTCTCCTAATCCTCAACTTCTTTTATCTAAGGGTTACCATTATTGGCTTTTTAAACCTTCTAAATGTTTTATTTTTTATGAGAAAGCCATACTTCAGCAATACTGTTACTCACATGACTGATTTCATAGTGTTGTCATTGGTAAAAAAAAAAAAAAAAATCCTGGCATCCTCAATCTTGTTCTAGAACTTAAAACCAAACACACAAAAAAGTCAAGGTCCAGCTACTGCCCACACTATAGTCATATGTCCTGCTGAGCCATGTCACTTACCTGCCACATCTTTGTTTCCTCAGCCACAAACTAAGCATACCCTCTGTGTCTCAGAGTTGAGGCATCTATATGTTAGTCAAGTGAGAACATATGCGAAAGTGCTTTACCATCAGTAAAGTACTGTCCAAATATCAGTGATTATGAGTTTGTGTGCACATTATGATGGCTCAAACAAAAATGTAGCTGCTGAATAACCCATTAAAATGCAGTGATTTATGGGAGACATGCAGAGACATAGCCTTAAAGAATGAAAGCTATATTAAGCAAAAACCTCTAAGCAGAACCTCCCAGTATAAACTACGGTATAAGAATTTAGGAGATTAAAAAAAAAGTCTAAAGAAAAGCCCTATTAAAAAAAGGGTGGGTCAGTGTGGTGGGGCATAGAAGTATCTGAGCATAAGACAGGTAAGTCCAGCTGTAAAGTCAATGGTCCCCCTCTCCTGAAAAACTGGGCTTGAGGTATGTGTTGGGTGGAATACGAAAAATGTTTAACATCAAACAATGGCCAGGAGCAATGAAGTAAGCAAGGCTTGTTGAAGAATAATTCTCAGACGTGGGCTCATCCTCCTGGATCTTTCCAGAGTTGGTCTTGTTTCTATGTTTTTGTTTTTGTTTTTTTCTAGAATGAATTTTAATTTTCCCCTGCTTGAGAACCTTCAACTATTCCCCATTATCTTTATAAACGACAGGCCAGAATGTTAATCTGGCCTTCAAATGTGTCCACAGGCTCTCAGTAGGGAACCTTCTAGTCCTAGAGCACACTTCAAGCCTTCAGTGGCCTTCTCTGCAACTATCCAGCTGCTTGCAGTTCCCTGAACACACCCTGGACCTTCCTGCTTTCCAGCTCAGGCTGTTCTCCCTTCTGGCCCCCAAAACTGCAAGGCCCCCCTCCCTCCAGCTGAACACGAAGGTTCTCTGATAAACCTTCTCAGAGCCTGCCATGTTCATGTGCTTCTACCATATCTGCTGGAGTATGACTTCTAAAATCATGGGCTCTTAGAAGATGGCAGCTTGGTTCTCTTTTTCTCCCTTTCCTTCTCCTAATAGTTCCCTCCAAAGACCAGAGTGCCTGCTCCATGCCTGCCACTCAGGGCACGTTGACTTAAATGAAATGCGTTCTCACCACTGGTAGGGCTGGTGGAGACAACACAGCTGAGGAACCACCAAGCTCTCTTGTTCTGCCTTGTGCCCCCACATGGCTGACGGCCCCATGATGTGTCTAGAAAAAGTAATGGGAATATGTCCAATGAGGAAAGCACTGCCATCTTATGTGTGGAAATGACTGATGGAGGAGAGGCAAGACTGGCTTTTAGCTTGTGAAAGAATCCACTGTGAATACAGGAGCTATTGTTCAAGAACTAGAGTGAGGCTCAGAGTGCCGTATGTACCGTCACGTGGTCCGGCAAACATCACATGAGTCAAACAACACTGATGACAGTACCAGTCCCATGTCTGCACCTAGAGTTCTGCTCGCTGTCTTCTGAGGATTCAGAAGCCCTCGAGTAGTTCTGCCATTGCCTTCTCGAGACCCGAGAGAGACACGATGACCCACAGCAGTGGAAGATCAGCTTCTGTGGACACCGAGGAGCAGAGAAAGAGCCAATCTCCAAAGTGAGCAAAGGAATGCATGGAAGAGCTAATGACAATGCTCCGTTTGCACTTAAAATACAGATCCTAGCAGCTATCACTAACTCTGGTGAGATGGAGGAGAACTATATATATTTCCAAAGTGTTGATGTGAGTATAAGCTATCCACAACCTTTGACAAGAAAACTGAAGGAAGTGGTCATGCTCCTCAATGTAGAAATCCCCCCCTGAGGAATCTGAGACAGGGAAGGAACTGCAAAGAAAATGGACATGAATATGTCGCTCAGAGCATTACTTACAACAGCCACCACCAAATGGAAGCCACCTCCACAGCCAACAGAAAGGGTTTCTTTACAGAAGATGTAGCCCTCACCTTAACTTGAACCTAGCCATGCTAAAGTATATTTGTGCAGACGATACTGACATATAACAAAATACCCCTCATAGGGAAAGCCAGAAAAAGTACAGGGCAATAGAATAAGAGCAGATTTAATTTTCACAACATTTTTGTATAACACTCTTGCGTTCCTTTAAAATAAACACTCGTAAATTCAACTGAAGAAGTTTCTGTCAACTAACATATGCTGATATTAAAAAAAAAAAAATGCAATGTAGAACACTGACTCTGAGAAGGTCAAAAATGAATGGAAGGGCAACAAGCCGCAGCCTGTTCTCTCAGGTGGCTGTGGACTCCGGTGGCCGACAGTGTGGACATGTTTACAAAAGGTTCTTACCTGTGGGGGTCGAGGCTTGTAGGGAGAGCTGCACTCAAGGTCGGCCAAGATACTGGTCAGAGAGTCTATCTCGGCATCCAGGCTAGAACGTCTCTCCTCAAGGGTCTTGCCTCCAGGATTTCCCTGTTGAAAGTAACAGAGATGTGTTACCCCCCCAAAAAAAAACATCTCCAGTGTCTAGTGCTATCAGTCTGAGTGCAAATCTCTCAAGTTACAGTGTGGCTTGGTCCAAGCTTTTCTGCACTTCACTTATTTTAGCTTTTACAAAATCTGAAGTAGAATTATCCTGTTTTGACAAATAAGAAAACTGAAAGATATGAAGTGATTTCCCTAAAATCACACTCATTAGAGGCTTTTTTTTTTTTTTTTTACAAATTTACAAGTAGAATTATCCTGTTTTGACAAATAAGAAAACTGAAAGATATGAAGTGATTTCCCTAAAATCACACTCATTAGAGGCTTTTTTTTTTTTTTTTACAAATTTACAAGTAAAAGGACATAAATGTCTCCACCCCTCTGCTGAAGGTGCAGATCCAACTGGGGAGATACTACAAGTTCTTTGTGTTCAGAAACCATCACATAGAATGACAGCATTTGAGTTGGAGCAGGAAGGGGCACGGGCAGGAGACTAATGGTCTAGGAAGAGGAATCGGCAAGCTAAGTTGGGTATTAGATTTGTCTGTGAGAGAGACACAGTGCATTCCAAGCAATGCACCTTCAAAGTGCACTAGAATGGGTCTGCTCAGAGCTCTGGCCAAGGGGCTGCAGAGGAAGCATGTGGTGGCGGTCATTGATTATGAAGCTGGAGATCTATGGACTTCACCTGTCAATACCCCATGTTATCACAAGCGCCGCCCTCCACCTGCACTCAGAAGCACAAAGGGTGAGTAGAGGGGAAGACACTGTCACAAGGGCATTCCCAGGAATTGTGAGCGGGCTTGGGGAATGGGTCCGGGTACAACATGGAAAGACGGGACATTGGTGTTTGGGAAGGTAACTGAGAACTGTGTGAATCTGATTCTCCTATGTGTATTTCCATAGCACCACAGCATAATATAGTGGTAAGAGCTGGGGACTGTTTAGATTCTTCTCTGGGCCATAGTTTCCTCCCCCTCACCTGCCCTGCCTAAGCCAGAGGGATGTTACAAGATTCAGATAAGAAAATGGATGGGAAAATACTTTGTAAATTGTAAAGTGCTATAATTATGATCATTTTCTTAAATAGCATTAATTATAGTAACCAGTAACTATAAATTAATATGAATAATATAGCTATTGTTAATTATTCTTCTTCTTAAAGGGAGCATCATTCATTAAGTGTCCCCTCGGGGTATCAGTAAAGAGACAGAATTTAATCAGGTCTCCAACATCTGTACTTTAACTGCAGTAGAAAGTACATCAACTGTCCATGCTCTAAGTACTGATGGATATCTAACCACAGAGACTCAAAAGTCACCGAATCATCCTGAGCTATACAATGAAACAAGTAATCACAGTGCTTAACGAGCCTGTACAGGTAAGGCTTCAGGTGGTATCCAGCCTCCTTATCCTCTCTTCCCACCAAACGGGGACTACTCCCCATTTTTAGTTTCTCCTATGAGGTTGACGAAATTCAGCAAGTCCCAGCCTAGTACTGTGGGATTTTGCACGAAGAACCCCAGACCCTTGCTGCCCTGCCTGGTCTTCTGGTAAGAGCTCCCCTGCCATATTTCAATCCCCATCAGAGATTAGAACAGGTCTCTCTCTGTTGCGTCTCTGTTTTATGCCTCCGTTCAAATAACAGAAGTCCTGCCACATCCTCCACTGGTGATCCTCTTGGTCGTCTCCTCCCCAGAACCTGTAGATGCAGGAACTGTCCTGCTACTCTCAATACTTTATGTTAGATCCCAGAGTCAACTGTCTTCCAACCAACTCACAGAACGGTACACACTTAGCAACATGTCTTCCTAACTTCCTATCACTGCAGCCTTACGATCACCTGCTCAAGGCCCAATCTGCTGGCGGTGGGGGGCGGGGGGGGGCTCGGAGGAGCCCTGGGAAGCATGCCTCAGATCTCCCCACCTAAGGGATGAAAGAAGAGAATACTCATCCTCACGCTATATTTCTCCACAGGTTTAGGGTTGCCGTGGGTTATAAACCCCCGTACTCATGACAAGAAGTAGAATGGTGGCAGAAAGTGAGAGACAGGTATTGGAGCTGAGGCGGGGTGCTGCCAGGTTATAACCCGTGCAGTGGTGGGCGCCGGAGCAGTGGCTGGGGTATGCAGCTGGGAAAAGACGACAAGAGGCTGGATACCAATGGAGTCCAGTGACTGTGTCTTTTTGCTTGCTAACAGCTATAAAAGCCCCATGAGTTAGCCATCCATAGGATATTATTTTCTGTAAGATACTATTTTCATTCATTCAATAAAAATGTATGTGACACAAGCTCACCAAACCACAATTGGGGCTTATTATAACTTGGAAAATCGTAATTCTTTGTGCCACTAGCAGAATTATAGGGTGATGACATCCCCATTGCAAAGATGTAAGAATAGACTTTAAAGCAGAGCCCAGAACCAAAGTGTATAGCATGGAAGGCCATTTCTAAGAGTCTGACTTGAAATGGGTGACGTTTTTGCCCACACACTGCTTATCCACGGACTACAGGTAATAGACAAGGAGGGACAGTATTGAGTTATGAAAGAGTATTCACTTGTATTTATCCATTCTTTATACCCAAAGGTCTTTATCTAAAAAAAATTAAATTCACAGGAAAGTTGAACTTCACCCACATACCTTCCCCCAGATTTATCAATAGCCAACACTCTGCCATACTTACTTGCTCTCGCACTATCTCTCTTCTAACAAATACATTTATTTGTTCATTTGTTATTGTAGCTAAACCATTTGAAAGAAGTTGCAGAAACTTCCCCTCCATATACTTCAGCTTACATGTCCTAAGAACTCCTGGTACCATGATCACACCTGGACGTGTAACACAGATATGGAATTTTTTTTTTTTTTAAGTAGATTCCACACTGAGCCCAACATGGGACTTGAATTCATGACCCTGAGATCAAAACCTGAGCTGAGATCAAGAGTTGGACGCTCAACTGACTGAGCCACTCAAGTGCCCGTGGGTGTGGAATTTTCTAACGCGCACACAAGCTCACATTCACCAGCAATCTCAGTAATGCCCTTTTTATTTATTCTTATTACTTTCCATCCAGAATCCAGTCAAAGATCACACGTTGAGATGACATGTCTTTTAGTCTCACCCCTCTAAGCCCCCTGCCAATTTTTGTCTTCCATGAAGCTAAGAATTCAGGCCAGGTGTCTTATAAAAAGTTCAACAATCTTGCTTTCTCTGATGATTAGAGGTGGATTAAAGCAAGTTGGACAAGAATATTATGTGCATGATGCTGTGTCCTTCCCACTGCATCACATCAGGAAGCTCAGGATAACAGTTTGGCTTGGTTTAGTGATATCAAATTTGATGACTTGATTAAGGCGGGGTCCACCAGATTTCTTCACCGTAAAAGTTGCTCTCTTCCCTTTTAAATCAATAAATTATCTGTGAGGTGACACTTTAAAACTCTGCTACTCTGCTCATAAAAACATTTCCCCCAAAGGTTTTAGCATCCAAAGATGGTCCTTGCCTGGACTGATTACTGCACCGGTGGCTGCAAAATGGGGAAAATGTTCATTATTAATGAATGGAAACAAGTGCATTCTGCTTAGCATAATAACAAGTTATTTGCTAACTATTCATTTCCATTTTGAGGTAGGGGAGCAGGACAAACTGCAAAGTCCTCTGCTATGAAAAAACATCAGGAACTGCCTGATCAAATCAACATTGTTAAAAAGAGAGTTCCTAATCAGGCTGTTAAGAGAAACAAAGGATCAAGGGCAATGGTCTAGTTAATTAAGAACCACTGTCTGCCCTAGGAAGTTTACTTCCTAGAATTAGAGCCCATATCCAGTATCACACTCAAACCATGCATGGGCCTGACCTCATCCTCAGCAACGTCCAGAATCTTTGAGGTGGCCAAGCAATTACAATGACGCATCACAGAAGGGGGATTTGAAGAGCCAAGATTTTTATGTGACTGCTCAAAAGCACACCTGAGAAAGAAACCAAATCATCAGAGAGAAAACTTGATGTTACAGGTACTAAATCTATGATATTTAAACCATGTTTCCCAAAGCTCAGGGAACTTGAGCAGACCCCATGTGTAACACCAAGGGAATCCCAACAGGACCCAAGCTTGGGCTTCCTTCTGTGATTCATTGGAAAAAAACATTCCCCAGATAGCTTAGAAATATAAAACTATCTCATCTCAGGAAACCCTAGAAGGCTAGGGACACAAACCAGTACATTCTTCCATATGCAATTTTGATTTTCTTTTCAGTGGAATTAAGTATTAATAATACAGCATCGATTTCACTTAATTTATTTTCTTTTATGGTCAGTGAAGTTCATTATTCCCTTATTTCTAAGGTTAATGAAAAAAACATGGCTGGTGATAACAAAAGGGATACAAAAAAAGCCATACGGTCTATTAAACAACAAAACTAAGTATCTATCATTAATCCTCTCTATCTTTAACGAAGCCGAGAATATGATCAATGAATTTCTTTTTTTTTAAATAATTTTTATTGTTATGTTAATCACCATACATTACATCATTAGTTTTTGATGTAGTGTTCCATGATTCATTGTTTGTGCATAACACCAAGTGCTCCACGCAGAACGTGCCCCCCTCAACACCCATCACCAGGCTAACCCATCCCCCCACCCCCCTCACCTCTAGAACCCTCAGGATCAATGAATTTCTTTGTGATCATTTTGATTAAATCCCCCCACCACACAAAGAGCATGGCAAAGCCTCTGGAGTCAGCCTTATAGGTGTTAGACGCCTGCAGCTGCCACCTTCCAGTTTGGTGACATTAAGCAGTCTACCTTAGCTCTCTGGGCCTCGGTTCCTCATGCTGCTGTTCTAAGGATTAAATGAGTTCCTATGTGCCAACTACTGCTCACATCTTAAGTATTCAATAAACATTAGCTACTCAACTATTACCTGGACCACAGTCTAAAAATAAATGCTTTGGCTGACATGACATAGTCCTAGTGAG